TGGTTTTTTTTTTATATTTTATTCGAAAAATATAAGATTTATCATAAAAATGTATAGAACTTAAATTGTAGAAAAAATTATGTTCTATAAAAAATGTATTTACAACATTTTTGTAAATCTAATATTTCCCCCTTTAAAAATAATTTTTTATTTTTGTTTTTTTGACAAATTTAAATTTTTTTACAGTTGTTTCAATTTATATTAATACAAATTATGTAATAATAAACCAAATAACTTATGGTGTATTTTTAAGTAGTTTTATCTTCAAATGGTGTACTCAAAACTTGTCTTGTACATTTTTTATACGTTTTTCTGTATTTTTGAATAACTTAAAATTAAATACACAGTAAAATTAGTCATATAAAATTACATTTATCATAGATATAATTTTTTGTAACCCACTTGAAGTAAAAATTGTTTTTGGTTTTCATTTTTAGTGAATTTTTCGTTGAAATCCTCCATAAACTTTGCTCCCCTTTCAACTGTATCATTAACGATTTGTAAAGAATCTATTGTCGTTTTTGCCAACTGGTATGCAAGATTATCATTCCACTTAGTTGGGTTCATTTTAAGGTACTCCAAAGAAATTACGAATTTTTTAAATATTTTATATGACTTATAACTAAACAAATGTACAGGTAGTTCTTTATTTAAAAAGTCATCCACGTCTTCTAACTTCAAACATAATTTTTTCGGTCCTGATAAAAATTCGTCTTCCACTCCCGGTGTTAATTCTATTTGTTCTTAGTACTTAAGCAGTTTATTAGCCATTTTTTTTTCTAACATAAAATGAAATCCTCTCATCAAATAAAGCAAGTATGGTACATTCTTCATTTAGATACCATAAATGATTTAAAAATGTTGACAAACATGCATTTGCAATTTTTTTATCATCTATTTTTTATTCGTTTAAAGTTCGTATTAAATTTATGTCGCTGAATGGTGCCTCACTAACATTTGTAACTGTATACCAATATTTAATATGATTTTTAACAATGAATGCACTAATTCGAACTATGGCATTTTCTTCGGTTTTTGTTATTTTTAATTCAGTTCGTAGTAAAAATATTTTCAGACAGTAAATACATTTTGACATCCACCTTACCTGATGACATGTGCCTGGTTGACGAATTTTCGTTCTACGAGGTGAAGTTTCTCCAAGTATAATAATGACTAGTTCAATTAATTCTTTGTAATCGTCTCTAGAATGGTCTTCAGTAATTTTTTTTAAACAAAATGAAACAATTTCTTGACGAATTGGGGAAATTATTTTTTCAAAATTTTTGTTTGTATTCCAAACTAATATTTTTATATTATTAAAATTTCTTTCCATGAATTTTGAAAGCGTTTAAAAATAGGTCTTATTGATCTTATATTATACATATAATTTCGCCTCGTTAAATGCAGCCTGAATAATCAACTCCGAAGCATGATGCCTACAAGCAAAATAAATAATGTCTTTGTTCAATTTCTACTCCAAAAGTGTAGACACCCCATTTAGCCTGCCGGTATTTGATGCAATAGTATCAAATACAAAATCTTTTACCTTATCAAGTAAAGACCATTTTTCTAAACAATCATTTACGGCTAATAATATGTCACTTCCTGTTCCTGATGGGATTTCTGGAACGCCAAAAAGTTATTTTCCATTTGACGTTGAGACAGTTACTGGAAGACCATCAACTTTTTCTTGATTGCTTAAGCCAGGAAGTAATTTTGTACAATAACAAAATCTACATTTAAGTTAACAAAATCTGAACGAACTTTTTCTGCGATTTTTTTTCGAATACTTTCTCAGCTATTTCTAATAAATATTCTATTAATAATATAATTAGCCGGATTTAAGGAAAGACTTTCTATATATGCTTTTAGTTAATGTACTGCGTCTCTACCACTGACCTTGCACTTATCTAAAGCTTCAGAAAGCCTTGGTGTAATGATTGATTTTTTTGTTCTTTGAACTCCAGATGAACAGGGTATATTTTCAATTTTTTCATATTCTGAATTTATACTACATTCTGTGTCCTCCTCTTCCTCGGAACTAGTGAATGCCGGTGTTTCAACTATAATATAATAATATAATAATGTATAATATGATCAATGAATAGAAAGCTACAATAAGTAGTTGAATACTTTAAGTATTAAAATTGTAATAATTACTTAGCACAATATTTGAAAGTTCAGCTTCATAATTTTGTCGTTTTGTTGACTCTTTATTTTTTCTAATAATTTGTCTTTTTTCTTTTTTCATATGTTGCATGTCAACTCCTAGCAAACAACCTGGACGACTTAGCATTCTTTGTGAACGTAAAAAATCTTTATCAATTTCGATTTTCATTATGTCAAATGCATTTGCATGTGCTATGTCAAATAAGTTGTCTAATTTTTTTTCAAACTCTTTAATCTGAGATTTGTTTGTTTCGCTTTTCCGATATTTATGTTTTTCGAAATTTCACTATAATTCATACGACTTTTTTAATTTCTTCATACAATTTGCTCAATCTTTTATTGGAATACGTGTTTTTTTTCCAAAATATGATACATTCATCAATAACTTAATATACGCTTTTTCGTTTGATTGGCAGAGTTTACTTATTGCTAATGATGTAGACATATTGGTAGAGAAATTTAACTATAAAATAACTGAATTAATTACTAGTGCTGCTAAGGTTACAACTACTTCAAAAAGTAAATTAAAAAAACCAATAAAATCAAAATATGGATAACTAATGGTCTTCTTATATCAATTAAAAATAGACAAAAACTGTATTAAAAAAAACTTAAATCACCTTTTGATTTAAATCTTAAACGATATTATATCAAATATAGAAATTTTTTGAACCTATTAATTAAAAAAGCTCATCGTTTATATTATAGTTATCTAATACTTTTATCTAAAAACAATATGAAAACCACATGGAAATTAATAAATGAATTCTCATATAGTTCTAAGAAAAAAGAAACTTCAATAAACTGCATGAACAGTAACGTTTCGAATATTCCTTTAACTAACAAATCTGATATATTGAATGAATTTAATAATTATTATATTAATGTTGGAAAAAAATATTTCTGGTGAGATAATTATTAGTAATTATAATAAATTAAATTGGAATGAATTAAATACAAATTGCCAAATAAATGATTTTATTTATCTTGATCCAATATACCCTTTTAAAATTTCAAATTTTGTTCAGAAAATTCCAGAAAATTTTTCTTATTTTATAAATGATTTGTCTAATTCTATTCTTAAAAAAACGGCTGACACGATTTCAATCCCATTATCTATTATTTTTAATTTTTCAATGGTCTCTGGCAAATATCCTTCTACATATAAAGATACTATTATTCTGCCTCTTTTTAAATTAGGTGACAAAAAACTATGTAGTAACTATAGATCCATTGCATTAACTTTAACTATATCTAAAATTTTTGAAAAATGTATTAAAAAAAGACTTATTAATTTTCTTAATAAAAATTTATTTTTTTTCGCTAAATCAATATGGTTTTCGTCCAATATATTTCGTCAAATATCTCAACCGCGAATCCATTAGTTAAAACTTCCCTCATTATTCAATTTGGATAAAAAATTCAAAGTTTTGGGTATTTTTCTTGATTTTAAAAAAAGCGTTTGACAGTTAACAAACTTGTAACTCATGATTCACTAAAATTGTTGATATACAAATATTGACTGTTAAAAGAAGCCACCCATCAGTGACACTTTTTAACTTGAATAATTAATATTGTAAGTTAATTTTGATTTATGAGGTTTTTAAACGGTTTTAAAGTTAATTTACTAAAATATCTATGATTTTAATAGGATAAAATGCATAGTAATCTTTTAAAAGATCCAATATGTGTCACGAGGCAGTGAGGATATAAGGAGAATATCGAGTTTGTTATATTGAGATAATTGAGAATATTGAGTTCCTGTCAATTATTATTGTGTTTGTCCTCACATGTAAATTTCTTATAATTTATATACATTTACTTTTATATACTTTTATAGGGATCAAAATACCTTTATTTATATAATATTATATATACAGTAGAATCCGCTTAATTGGGACACATTAGGCGGTGGCCTATTTGTCCCCATTATCCGACTGTCCCGATTAACCGAATAACTAATAAACCGAAACTATTAAAGTGCATATATGTACATACATAATAACTTTATTTAAAAAATACATACATACATACTTAATTCATACTTTATTTAAAAATTACATATTTTCATTATTATTATTATTATTAGCAGTAGTATATTATATTTACTATTTAGTATTATTATATTGTAAATTAATTAGATTATTATTTTATTATACATTAATTAATTAACATACTTAATTTATATTTTGTTAGGCTGCAGAAAATCGTTCATTCTTCTTTGCTGTAATTTATTAAGACTTTGCTTATTGATAAAATCTGCACAAACGTCTAACGAAGTTGTTGGGATATTTCCGTTCTCAATTTGCATAAAATATAGTCTCAGCTGATCAATGCACTTTTCTGCTTCTTTTGTTGTAATTTTGACGGGCTGAACGTTGTCATCGTCATCGCTTTCTTCATTTTGCAGACTTTTTTCAGCAATTTCATCAAGAATATTATCGTAATTTTTATAGTCATTGAAGCACTGCATACCATCATCAATTTTTATAAATAACTCCCCATTTTCTACGCATTGCATTACGTCATTTTCAATAGAAAAAATAGGAGGAATAGGTAAATCAATCAGTGGTATGAAACCGCAATGTGCAAAACAATGCTGAATCGTAACAGATGACACTTTTCTCCAGCTATCAGCGATAAATTGTATTGCTTGTAGAATGTTTATTTTAGAACTGATATCTATAGCACATGTAGATGGAGTTACTAAATTATCTTCAATAGCCTTTAAAATGTATGTTACCAGTAGTCCACGGTAATGAGTTTTTAAATTCATAATGATCCCCATATCGAGTGGTTGAATGATAGAAGTAGTATTTGGAGGAAGAAATTCAAGTGTGATATTTTTTTAAATCTATCAAGTTTCGATGTGGTCCAGCATTATCAACAATTAATAAAATTTTCCTTGATTGTTTTCCAAGCTCTTTGTCCCAGTCTTTCAACCACGATGTAAATATTTCTGCTGTCATCCATGCATTTTTATTCGCTAAATAAGAAACAGGTAAGTTTGTTATTTTTATATTTTTAAAACATCTTGGCTTTGCGGATTTTCCAATTATTAACAGTTTTTTTTTATCTGTGCCTGCCATATTACAACAACATAAAACTATTATACGATCCATAGATTTTTTTGATCCCTCAAGTGTTTCACGTTTATAGCACAAAGAACCATCCGGAGTCGCTCGGTAGAATAAACCAGTTTCATCAGCATTATAAATGTCCTGAGGAGAAAAATTTTTAAGAATTACCGGTAATTTAGCTAAAGACCATTCATTAGCTCCGTTTGTATCAGCACTTGATTTTTCTCCGTGAAATCGCTTGAATTTAATATTATTCCGATCCTTCCAACGACTTATCCAACCTTCTGTGGCCTTAAAATCACTATGTCCAACTTTTTCAGCAAAAAATTCAGCTTTCTGCTGTAACATAGGGCCCGAAATACGAACACCGCGTTCTGTAACAGCAGAAAACCATTCGTTCATAGCTTTGTCTACTATGGGATCTTTGCCTTCTCGTTTTCTTTTTCTATTTACAGGTGCACTTTTGTTGTCATTTAATTTTTCATATTGTTCTCGAATATCTTTTTCATTATTTTTTAATCGGCTTAGTACCGATTTAGACGTGCCTATTATTTTTTCCAACTCACGAAGACTAGTACTATGAGATTGGGCCTTAATTTTTTCCAGTATAGAAATTTTTTCGATTAATGTTAAATCTTTACGAGACATAATTGTTACGTATTAACACAAACTGGGAAACGCACTAAAAACGCACATACATTAATACACCGAGACGAAAGAACGTGAACTAAAAGTTTTCGATTTTGTACGTAGGCTAGTGGACTTATATCATGGTAGTTGAAAAAAAAAGAAATAATTGACATAATTGACGTAAGATTTACGCACATTACCAATATGTGTATTATACATAAACGTGTGTATATAAAATATAATAGAATCATAAAGATTACAGTTTCGATAAGAATATCGATCAAAATATCTAGTTTGATATTCTTATCGAAACTGTAATCTTAATGGTTCTATTATATTTTTTATACACAAAATGTCAAAATATCTAGTTAGACACTTTTATTTTTGTCCCTTATAACCGATGGCTTGTCCCTAATATACGAAGTTAAATTGCCTTAAAGGAATACATTCGTTCGGGACTATGCCAATTTGTCCCCTTTAAGCGGTGTCCCAATTAAGCGGATTCCACTGTATATAATTATTTATATAAAATTTGCTAATGAAGAAACCACTCGCAGTGACCATACTTACGTTACAGATATTATTAATTTCATTTTATTATTAGTACACGAGCACCAGTGAAATATATATAAATATATAAATAGGCGCAATTTAGGGGAGGGGGGCTTGAGTGTGCTTAGCACCCCCATTTTCGAAATTAGACATTAATCTATGCCTACATTAGGCGGAATCCACTGTATTTGAATTGCTTTTTAAAAATATTTATATTCAATTGAGAACAAAGATATAGGAACTTATTCAGTTGCACTTTGTCTTGAATATTATATGAATTTTCTTCCATGTAAAAATAAAATTACACCCATTTTAGTTATTATATTTTATAGTTTTGTAAATTCATCACCATATCAGTTTTTCTTAATCTTAAATATGTTACGTACATTATTAATTATGCATTTTATCATGTATGCGACGATATAAATAAGAAATCAATAAATAGAAATATACATTAATATAATAATATTATATATTGCAAGAAACAAAATATAAATATTATGTAAACAAAATATAAAATGTTATTAATGTAATGAAATAAATATAGAAAAAAATTTTAAGAGATTAAACATTTATATAATATTTTAAGTCATCTTCAATATCGTTGATTATGTATTTCATGTTCGGTGAGCTGGCGTTAACTTCTTCATCTTGATGTATTTTATTGAATCTTTAAAATATTAAAACAGATAAATTTTATTTTATAATAAGAATTCAAAAATATTAATATTTATCTTAAAAATACCATTATCTTTGACAAGTGGTTTGCTTTCAAAGAAGTTTTTTATCTGATTTGAATGTTTCCAAACAATGCTGCACGAGTTATCGATAAAACAAAATTAGTTTGATCGTTTTTTCAATAAACATATTATAATAGGGGATAACTGTTGAATAATATCTTATAAATATTAAGATTAAATAATATTTATTGTATATTGGAATTTAAAATGGGAAACAACATTGGAGAAAAAAAATTCGTTTACAACTTCTAAATTAATTATTTATTAATTATTTATTAATATTTATTATTAATTATCTTATTAATTAGTTTTACATGATAAAATGAATTAATATTTATAATTCTATCGTGATTAAATATTTCGAAATTATAAGTCAAAATGTCGATAGAAAATATCGATCGACATCCTCCGTATGAGATAAGTGTATATGTTATATGTATAATATTGTTAATAGTACCTATATGTAATTATTATATTGCTGCATCAAATCCGTTTCTTCTACGAAATCATATAGTAAATCATAACATTCATTTTGAATGAATTAAGTCATTAGTTGAACGGTAAGTGTTTTATGTCTATATTTAAAACGAGATCCCTTCGTAATTGACTGATCTGGATCTGAAACTAAAACCGGCGAAATTAATTCATCCTAATCCAACTTTTTACTGTCGCAAAATCCGATTTTCATCGCCCTAATTTGCTATTCAATGAATCCACAAACATCAATACTACTCAAATTATATTAATATTTAAACCGATGGCTCAGTTTCATCGATTTCAGTTGTTTCATCGTTTTTATACCTCGATACCCCAAATCAACTCGCATTGGTTTTGAATAATCGATAAAAGTCTGTGCAATATTTTAAACTCAGTTTAGAATAATATTATATAGTTACCTTCATGAATCCATTTGTCGAAGTAGATGTCATATCGTGTATTTTAACGGTCTTAACGCTGTTGACATAACTTTCTCTAAACGAATCACGTTCTAGTATTAATAGATGCACAAAAGCTTTGGCCAAGCTATATTAGACTAGAAATACATCTAGAAATAATAAATCACGTTATTAGGAGAGCTATTAAAATGTTTAATTAATAGTATTTAAAATGTTACTTTTGATTATTTCGAACCAGTCATTTGTAATATTTTACACAAACAGTTAACTTGTAGATCTCCATTTTCTTTTAACACATCCATTATCAACCTAACGATGTTTCTAATCTCTAAATGGATATAGAATAAATACAAAATTCTAATTCAAAATATATTATATGGTATTTGTATCTGAAATAAAATATAATTTATTTATTAGTTGGATTTAACAATAATGATGTTATTGTGGTATCTAATTGTTGCTCAGTACGGGTGTTCGTTGAAAATGTAATATTTATATTCAATAAACGGGTCATTGGCAAAATTAAAACAGAATAATTCTAAGAATACTCATACTTCACTTATTGAAACTATTCTATTTTAAGGGATAGAAGGGTTGATAGAATTATCCCTTAAGAACTCGGAGCTAAATAAAATAAGATACAAAATGAAGTACTTGGAGGTATCCGTTATTTTTTTTAAAAATAGTTTTCTATTATTACACTTGCATAATATATTTATACAATTTTCCTAAGTAATATTTTTATTTTTTAGTAAATTATTTTAAGTCATTATTTTGATTACAAGCTTGGTCTCATACCGGATACATATAAAACTACCGAACGATGATCTTACAAAAATTGTTCATTGTATATTTCATGTAGAAATATAAAAATGTTAAACGATTATCTATTTAATAAAATACTTTTATATCTTTAGAACGTTTTTTTTCATGAAATTAAGACTGCTTATAATGTACTAGTTCTTATAAATTATTCATGAAAATTCAAAATGTTCCTTATCTGAAATATGTCCTTATCTATACAATTTATAATTAATTATAATTTATAAATAGTATTTACTATCAGATATCAATTGTATTATATTCTTCCAATTGTGTTAAGGAATAGTCTGTCAATTGAGATTTTGGCTTTTCAGGAATTCTTCAACGTTTTTTGAGGTAATCGTTGTATGCAAAAAGATTATTACCTCTTATCCAATGTACACGACGATTAACAGATACCCCTATGGAAATTAAAAAAAATAATGTTATCATTGGTATCAAGATCTTCCAAAAAACACTATTTTATCAATATAAATCGTACACTTATTACAACTTACCATCAGAAAACAAAAGCACTTTCTTTTGTATCTTATTTACGTTTCTGTTATTCATATTCATCTAAAACAGATTATTAACATAAAAAATTAACTTGCAAGTGTGAATTGGATAATGGACTGTTGATTATAGTTATGCCTAATTATTGTAAACGTTTAATGATATAAAAAAAATACATACTCCGGGATCTAGGAAAGCCAAAATTGAATTTGGCTCCCTGTCAATACATATTTGTTCTGTATTAATTTTATTAAATATTTTATTCTCTAATTGGTACAGCTATAAAAAAAAAATAAGCATTATATGGTTATTATATGCTCTTATAACACGATCTGTGGACTTACATCTGACAATTCATGATCCTTCATTAACTTCATTAAGACTTTCGGCGCCACCCTACTTGCCAATTTGGTTAACTTCACCATTTCCTCTTTAGTCATGTTCATTGGTGGTGACGTGACGATACCGTCTGCCCTCTGCAGCGAGTGGGCATCGACAAGCCAGTCACCACCCACCAGGAAGACGATTCGGTCTTCGACCCCGTACACACGAGCATTGTTCCGGGTGAACGCGATTTTGACCGGGTCACTGTCCATTGCAATGACTACATAAAAAACGCGAACCGTTACGAGTCCAATGTTAGTATACATTACGATTTAATATACAATTAACGTGTTAAATAATACAACAATAATTGTATTTTCATGTTGTCAGCAATATACCTTTGCGGCAGACCATGGCCAGTTGGATCGCGATCGCACCGGAACCGCAAAACGGGTCTATCACAGTACTCAGCGACTTACACCGGGAAGCCATCAGTTTTGCCAAAACTTTTGAAGGCCCGGAGTAAAGAATCGCTGTAAAATCGTAAAATGATGAAAACACAAACGGAGTCGATACTATAACTAAAAACGTTCGTCTGTCTAACATACCTGGGTCTGCCATGATGCCGTCGTTGAATTTCGAAAATCGTGCAAACCGATTTTCCCACAATTTATAGGTGACGTTCAATTCTTGGGAATAGTACGTCGTGATTAATAAACATTGGAGAGTTTATTCAGATAATTATATATATATATATATATATATGTTACGGTGAATGATGTAAACGTGGTAAAAGACGTCATTCCCCGGTAAATGACATCATTTACCTAAAAATTGGTAAACGTTGTAAATGCAGACATTCTCCAGTTATTGTCACCAATCACCAGTTTAATTGGAGAATGATGTTTAATACTTTTATAAACGAAAATCCCAACTAGCAATAACGTCGATAACCCGAGTAATAATGTGAGATATTCTTTTAGTTTATTAGTTAGTATCGACGGGTATATTATAGCGAGTTGTATTTGCTACGAATGTGTGTTTTATAATATTATTTGTAAAAATTTGTGACAGAAATGACAGAATATGGGGTGTTAAAACACAAATATACACGAGCACAAATTTCTCCATATAAAGAAAAATTTCTAAAGCTAGATTAAGCCATGAAAAAAATTTAAAGACAGGGAAATAACATAAAGAGAAGCAGCAAGACATGGAATAGCTGGCCATCAAGGATTTAATCGATGCAACTGCAAAACTGGTTGTGGTACTAAAAAATGTGCTTGCAATGCAGTGGAAATGTTCTGCAGTTCAAAATGTCATAGTAACCAAAATTGTACAAATAAATAATTTGTAATATGCACGTATTTTGTTATTTTATTATTTTTTTATTTTAACAATAAATCATTATTATAAATAGTACCTATAGTAAAAAAATCAATGTATTATTTGAGATTTATCATCATTTACCACTAGTTTTGGTAAATGACATCAATGACCGGTGAAAGATGTACATTTGAATTTAAAATCTGGTTTTTTACATCATTTACCTACATCGAATCATTTTAGTAAAAGACGTCATTCACCGGAGAATGACGACATTCACCAATATTCATCTTTTACCGTAACATATATATTAGATAATATCCTGTTGATTAGTATCGTGTAGTATGTATTTGTTCGTTTGGTGTTACCGGGGCTGGGCAGTATCTTAGATACTAGTATTTAAGATACGTATCTGAGATACAATTGTATTTTGTATCTGGTATCGTGGATTTAAATACTTTTTAAACTTGTATCTAGTATCTTTTTATGATTAAAGACTAGATACAATCTATTGTTAGGTAATAATAATTAACATATTAATAGTTTAGATTAAAGTTTTTCACGTCAAAGGCATTCACTTGATACCTTGGTAAATAAACAATATATACAATATTTGCTCATAATAAAGATTATATTATATATAATCTTTATTATGAGCAAATTTTGTAACCAGTTAATGATATAAATCCAGTTTATCGGCAGAATGTTTTCTTGATTTTATTGCGCTAAACATTTATTTTAGACTGTGTGATTGTGCGATGATCGGTTCATATTTTCTGTCTACGCGATATTTGTGTAGTGTCATCCGATCTTAAGTATCTATTACTAAAAACATAGATAATAATGTAATTGTTAATATTCCAAAATCCTTATATGGGACACTCTATACAATATTAAATTTTGATGAAATAATAAATGTAAATTGAAAATTTAAATTATTTACTATTAATAATTATAAATATTTATTATTAATTATTAAGTTTAGAGACTTATAGCTCTAAAAAATATACAAATATGCTTCTAAAATCATTAAAATATGCATTTATATGCATTAAAAAAAAAAAAAAAAAAAAATGACCACATAGTACACAAAATAAAACGTGTTCATCGGATGTAAATGTATCTTTGAACTCCAAAACAAAACTTCTATAAATGAAATATGTATCTATAGTTTTTAATTTTAAATTTGGAAAATTTGTCAACATTTGCAAAATAAGCATAAGCATTTTAAAATATGCACTCTCCTGCAAAATCTATCAAATATGCAAAAATATTCACATTCAAATTTTAGATCTGATATCATGGTATCGAGAAACGAATTTATTTCGCACTCTGCTAAATTTAACAATAATTAAAAAAAGTATACAAATGCTAGAAGTCCCTAAGCCTATTAATTATATATATATATATATATATATATATATATAACAATTATTATTTATTATTATTAATTGAAATTAGTTTCTTTAAAAGGTAACCAAGTATTTATTTTAAAACATATAAAAAATTTTTACTATAATACTACATATCATTTTTTTTAAATTTAAACATTTAATAGTTAATAAATAAAACTTTGTAATTTATAAATATATTTATATTCTTTTTTATTTTACCTAATATAAATGAATAAACAAATAAATAAATAAATATTAATAAATGAATAAATTATCTTGTATCTTTTATGTATCTCGATCTAATATCGAAGTATCTTGTATATTGTATTTAGATACGAACTATAAATGTATCTTGTATCTTGTATTTAGATACTTTTTTTTTAGGTATCTTGCCCAGCCCTGGGTGTTATACTGTTAGCAATCGTTTTACTGTGATCGACTGTTGCAAATCGATCAGTGGCAAATTATTTTGCCGCCCTCAAGTTCACGAGGTATTGATATGATAACGTTTTTTTTTTTTTTTTTCAAATCCACTCAAATATTCTTGTGTGCGTTTGTGGGAAACAAATTTTGGTCCTGACAAATGAAAAGCGTAAATGTTGATGTTCTATAACTACACTGCGCACTAAATCAAGTCGTATCGCGTACGTGAAAAATATGCAGAATCCGGAAGGGCCACCGTTCGCGTTGAATATGACCGTAAATAATTAATGGTAATGTGGTTTTGCACTCACTTTGGCGCGATTTTCTTCCATTTTCGGTAGTACGTAGGGTACGATTTCGTCTTCATCGTCACCGAACTTGTTCTGCCGTCACACGGACACTCGTCACCGAGTCGGCCACGTCGCACATCTGTGCAGAATGCGCCTGTTCGCTAGCTACTTCGATGACGTCGGACTCGACTTCACCGGCGGACGGGTAAATCTGCGTGTACGTGTCAACGAACGTTGCGCAGGAGTCACCGGACGCGATGTCGTGATGGGCCACTCGTGTGCTGAAAGTGGTGACGGGGTCCGTTTGCGAACCGCATTCCGTAAAGGATACGGGACAGGTAGCCGTTTGACCACCGACGTCATCGTGAACCAGAGGGCCGTCTCGCGGTTCTTCCGGTCCTGTGCAGCAACCGTGATGCGCGAAACCCCGACGGGCTAAAGTGGAAAAAGTACGAGCGAGATGATACGTTAAGAAAACCCCAACGGAGATCGAAAGGTGTCGTAGCGCAAATAGAACCTCTACCGTACGCACCTTGATCCTCTGTTAACCAGACTAGGAACCGTGCCCATCTGCAGATTAAACAGAAGGTAATCAACTGCAATTGCTCATCGTTCCTGTCCGTCTCCTGAGCAGGACCACAACGGCGATCGGAACTGAAAAACACATAAATATCAAACATTTCAAGCGCGGAGGCTCTATCGATCGAACGTCGGACGCGAACACTTCTCGACGGAGCAGAAATAATAATAATAATAATAAAATAATAATAAATAATAAATGCCTAGGCATTGATGATATAATTTAGTTGTTAAGCATGTTAAGCATTTAAAACATTAGCTAAGCATTTTTGTTATTACCTAATTTACATCTTTTACGATAAAATATATAATATATATACTCAGTATATATTAAATATTAATTGTTGTGTATTTTTTTATTTCAACTATTTTGCGCGGGGCCTCGCAATTTGTAGCGCTGGTCTTGCGTGCACTACACGACGCACGGCGACCGGTCCGGAGCGACCGTGGCGCGGCAGCCGTAGAGAAGATAACAATTAATCTAGTAATTATTTTTTTTATGTTACCAAAGTTTGGAGAGATGCTAATGCAATCAACGATGAGGTGACCGGTTTTATTGGCCCAACTACCTTTTTTTGACATATGTACGTCTTTGAATAGAGATAATCGATGCAATACAAGTAAAACAAAAGAAAAAATTTAAAACGGAGTAGTAGTGAACGATGTTTCATGAACAACAGTCAACATGAGAGTGTATAAATATTTACATATTATTTGTAAACGAGTTAAACAATTTTACGATATATTGCTCCACATGGATGAAAAGAGATGTGCAATTTCATGAACATCCAAAATAACAAAACTCCAAACATGCCTCCTATGTAATGTTATGCGTGCATACTTTTCTATCTATATAATATATAAATAAGTCAAGGGACTCGTAAACTATAGTCGTGTATCGATTTATTATATTATATATTATATAAGAAATAAAACAAAAAGTGAAATGGATGCGCCCTCGTGGAACACAATATACGTCAATGCAGTACCTATACGGATTATGAAAAAAAAATATATATATATATATATCCAGAGTACCGAAAATTTCTCGTATAATAATCAATAATTAAACAGTAAACCATTATAAAACAGATTTAAAATTAAAACGTCAGCGATGATGACGGTAACACGTATACACGGAGTACAAGCCATTTATATTCTCGTCTGTTCACGCGATATTTAAAATAATAATAATTTATAACTGCAACATGCAATAATAACGACCGCCTGCGGTTCCCGAAAATACTACACCGGGTATAGATGTGTGTGTGTGTGTGTGTGTGTGTGTGTGTGTGTGTGTGTGTGTGT